TATATATATATATATATATATATATATATATATATATATAGTTTGCTTTATAATTTCAATCATGTCTCTGTGACTCCTTTTTTGGTACTGTTGCACTAATAAGCCCTTATTTCAGCATCAAATTGTATATCTTCATTGAAATTAGGAAGACATTGGACGAACATATTCTACACTGTTCATAGGTTGTACACTTATGTATTATTTTGTAGCTTTATTCACTTTCTAAATTTGAATGCTAGCATTTCATTGGTGATCTCTTCGTTTACTCTGCTTCGTCCCTTCTTACTTTGTGAATAAAGTACGGATTAGTATGGTTTGAAATGTCCTAGCTACTTGCGATGCTATGAGATGTGTCCGCATTTTGCAACTGGTATTTTTTTATGACCTCGTACGTAGCGCAACACAGTCTACTGTCCTCGGAAGCTCTTTTGCATACTTTCTTTCAATCCACCCCCACCCAGAGATTGCGCTAAATGGTTCATCTTTAAATTTTAAATTAGTAGAAGTTAGTAAGGCATCATTGTTCTTTCTGGCTTTGTTTTGAAGAGGTCATGCAAAATATCCCCGATTTATTATCTGTTCTTCTCTAATCAAATTTAATGTGATGCAAGCGCTAGGCTTTGCGGTCTAAATACCTTTGGGTATGATTATTGTGCTTGGGTTTTTGCTATAACCAAACTGGTAAAAGGTGGTATACCACTGGTGTTCTTTCTTGTCGCGAATTACTAGTTTGCGTGGAAAATTTAATGTCCTCTCTTTAGACTGATTCGAATCTATTCTGCCGTAGCTTACCCCTTTCAGATTTCGTTAGCTTTTGGGATGTATGTTCATGCGATACTGATATACAGGTTGGTTCGTGTTAGACCATTCTTGGCCATAGTCACATATCGCAATCTTTAAATTCTTGCACAGTAAGTTAACGACAATGTTTCTGCGTAAATGGTATCAAAGGTACGCCTTAGCGCAGTCCAGTATGTCCTTAGGCATGTGTGATAATTCCTCGTGACCTTGTCCTCTTAACTTCTTTCGCTCTGAATCACCAATCTCTCATGAGTGTGCTGAATCGACTATCATTTTGTTTTAATTTTTATGGTAGTTAGTTAAATTTCTCGACTCTGTAACAGCGGGCCATTGCAATGGCGCGTTATAGACAACTGGGAACGGGCATATCGATGTAACATGCACTAAACATAGAGAGAAGTAATATTTTAATCCACCTTGTTTGCACTATTGGGCAATTGATAGTTCACTTTGGAATCTAAAAACTGAAATATGTTGTATTTTAAAATTATTACGTTAACCTTTACTGATGACTTACTTAAGTAGCCTTTCAGTATCTCTGAACGTGAGGTTTTATGGCGTCTTTGCAGTGCGTTCTATTTTATCATACCCCTTTTTATGACAGTGTTGTTTTTTTACCTTTAACACAGTTCGAAGAAATACGTTTCAGATTAACTTTTCAACAATCGTCATTTCGCAATAAATGATGAACTCCTTCTCTTTGTGTACATTTTTAGTTTTTATTTGTTCTAGAATTTCTTCGCAAGTTCGTCTTAAAGTAGTCTAAACATTCAGCACCACACTTTATCTAATCTCTTTTAGTTTTTTTACCCTCAAAGCCATGTCCTCAAATGTGCTATAAAACTTGTCTGTGGTCCCTATTGCCATTATATTATCTCCGATCTTCGCCTTTGGCATTTGTATACAAATTAAAACCTCAAGAATAATTAGTTGAGTCATTTGTCATTACCGTTTTCATTCAGACAACAGTCCATCACGAATTACAAGTCATTTCGATTTGTCCAGTTTCATATAGGTGTCATCTTAGGAAATGGGAAAATAAAAAATTTTGTTGTCCGGACATGATTGTCTGCGATAAAGATTTCCTATCCGTTTTTCTAAAGTTAATTTAACCAATAATCTCAAACTGCAATTAATTTTAATGCGCTTTGTGTATATACCTTCAGGAGAGTCCAGATATGCGAATTTTTTGCTTTCTGTAGAGAAGAGACAAGGCGGGGCCCATTTATTTGGGGGCCAAAACATGATCCATATTTTCGACCTAGGTAATCATTGTCCGTTTTCTAGAATATTTATTACAATGTCAGTGTTACCAGCTTCAATGTATTGAGATGAAAGAGCTTCGTAAATCAATATTGCTTTACAAAAGAACGCAGGAATTGGATTGAAGCCTCGTGCTTGAAATGTATTGACCTATTTACTAAGCTCGTCATATTAATTGCTTTCAGAAAGTCGGAATTTTTAGGTTTATCTAAAAAATAAAATTATTTACAGATGTTTTTCGTTCAAAAGTTAGAATTCTATTAACAAGGAGAGGGGATTAGACCACTTTATATTCTCTTTGAAGCTTTGCTTGTATATGACTAAAGCATAAGCATTTCTAACATACTAGGTTAGGAAAACCACTTGACAGTTATCTTAAAGCTTATGCTTTTCTGCGTCAGAGGTCATGGGCCTGATGCTCACTGGCTCACACTCAGTGGGAAGAATAGTCAGCCATCTATTTAATGGTTAATAGAGAAATTATGACACTACTCGAGATATGTATTGGAGGAGGCTTTGTTAAATTGATCATAGAGTTGTTCTATTTTCTTTTAGAAAGATGAAGTAGGTCATACTCAAACAGAACATCGAGTTCTACAACTTAACAATCATCCCTTCATGACGCAGCTGAAATATTCCTTCACTACTCGTGATCACATCTTCTTCGTCATGGAATACTGTAATGGTGGCGAGCTGTTCTATCACCTCTCTCGAGAACACGTTTTTTCAGAGGCTCGAACCCAGTTCTATGCGGCGGAGATTACTTCCGCTTTGGGATATCTACACAGCCAAAATATCGTGTATCGGTGAGTACTCTCATCTCACCTCCGTATAAAACTTTCTTTTGTTCAAACTAATGAATAACTTTACGATACAAATAATTGGTACCAAGTACAACATAAGATTCCATTTAATTCCCTTTTTTGTATTTATTTTTGCATTTGTAACTTGGAGTTACGACATATTGGCTTCTTAATTAATGCAAATTGTGCCAGCGTTTCGCTTTATGTGGGTGTAAATTTAACTTCCTATTAGCAATTTCCATTTTGCCAAACTGAATTAGTGATTCAGCGACTAAAGTGTTTGCTTCGTTCTCTAATTGGTGAAAAATAGAATAGAATGAATGTGGGTAACACTGGAAAGCGGTTTACTTTACTCCGTTTGCCTTCTCCTTTTTCTGAGTTTATTCTAACCCTTTTATTTAGATCAATTACTATTGATCATGCTCTGTATTCCTTTGATGGTAATGGCGCAGACATCATTTACGCGCACCCATTGATCACAGGCAATGTCTCATTATTGCACTTATTGGCACCTGGGAACACAATCCATTGCTCTTTCAGCAAGATACATAACTAGAAGGCAAGTAATTACATTTGTTAGTAATGTCTTGACTTAACGTTTGCTACCTCCTCTGCTCATTCTTACAACCCGTACGACTAGAAGCGCAAAATTCAACTGTTTGCCTTGGCGGAAATAGAAATCATAAGTCCTTTAAGTTCAGTAGCCCTTTCACTAACTTGTAATAACTTAGAGGAACTTAAGAAAATTATGCACAACAATTGCTCCTCTCACTCTCCTTTTCAATAAAAGAAATTATTGAGTAATGAATCCCCCCAAACATTTCCAATATTAACTTTGGAAATGTCATGAAAGGGATTTAACGCTGCCAGTACTCTCATCCATTGAATACCTCTGCTCACGAATTTCGGAGATAAAGATGTTAATAGTTTCATGAACACAGCAATGATTAGTATCCCTTGAGCTAGGAATAAATCTGTGTCCCCCTCCCTTCCTCGACATTAAAGGTGTTTTGAAACGATCAGATGTATGTTTTTTTGGTTTCTCAGTTATAAAAGTAGATATCTATGGGAGATATTGATTATATGACTACAATAAGCAAGTTAACCTTATGAACTCATGTTCGATTTCACTTATTCCTTCACAGAGATCTGAAATTGGAGAATTTGTTACTGGACAAAGATGGTCATATCAAGCTTACAGACTTTGGTTTGTGCAAGGAAGACATAGGGTTCGGCTCTACCACAAAGACCTTCTGTGGAACTCCCGAATATCTTGCACCCGAACTTCTTCTGGACAATGATTACGGTCGCTCAGTAGACTGGTGGAGTCTGGGAGTTGTTATGTATGAGATGATGTGCGGTAGACTTCCCTTCTACTCCAACGAGCATGAAATTCTCTTCGAGCTTATTCTCCAAGTAAGTAATTTTACTGTACATTACATATTTTTAAATTATTTTCTTGGATTGAACCGAATTCCCGACTTATTCAAATTTCAATAGCTATACTTAGTAGCTGTAAGTAATTTTGCATTAAATTGGCAATTTATATGGGTAAAATTCTAGACTGTGTAAAATTATAAATCTTACCTGTCTTGCACCACGGCTGTTTTTTTAGAAAATAACCAAACATAGTAAATGATTTATGAAAACAAGTGTGTGTATGTGATTTTCATTAAGCCTAGTAAAAATTGTTTTAGATTTAGCATTTTACTAATTGTTTCAGTATTGAACAATACAGAATTTCGAAAAAAAATACAGACAAAGTCTAGAGGATCAAAAAATGTTATTGAAATCATCGTCAAGTGGTCAGTTTACTTCAATTGGCTCGCTGATTTGGGTTTTACCGTTTTTTTGAATGTTTAACTCACGTTCCAAACTTCATATTAAATGATCCATTACGCAGATTGCACCAAACGCCTAACTATGGTGTTAAATGCTTATTAAGCGTTATTTTCAATCAATGCTTGTTCTTACCTCATCTCTTCTTCCGATTATTAATTAGGCATATCTATAATCGTAAACTTGCAGTCTTAATAAAGCAGTTATGAGATAGCTAAAACCCTGTGATAACTAATCTCTGTAAGCTAGGTTCCCTCAAGGGGAATAATATCAACACAATTTAAACGACGATTTCCAAAGTGCTAGGTTGATTGATTGTCTGTTAATTTAATAATAGACTTCTTTCCTAGTATGAATAATAATCCCGAAGCGTTGAATTCTGTTCCATTGGCAAAATATATTTGATTCTTCTTATCATAACCATTAAATTATCATTTTTGAGGTCTTATCTTTAAGTATAGAGCATATTCCCCGTTTTCCGTGACCCAATGACTTTATATTCCCAACGCTTTTTATAATTTATAACCTATTGGAGAATTTATGTAAAGATGACTAATCCTTTCCTATTTGCTCTTTATATTTTCCTAACACCGCATAAAACTTTATCTTTTATCTAGGAAAGTGTAAAGGTGCCGGAGAATCTGAGTCAGGTAGCAAGGGACATTCTCATTCGCCTGTTGATGAAGGATCCATCTGAACGCCTGGGTGGTGGTAAAGCAGACGTTATTGAGGTCATGATGCATCCCTTCTTCGAATCTATCTCCTGGGAGAGTCTCATTCGCAAGTAAGCTTCAATCTTTCTCTAATGTATATATGGGGATGCTTTTCGGATAAGTGCATGCTTAGTGTTGGTTCTGAGGGTAAAGTTAGGGAAAAGAGTAGGCAGGTTTAGACTGTAGGAATGTGTCTTCTTGTTTTACTTCTTGTCTTTGAAATATGTAAGCTTCTTTAAAGTGAAGCGCATGGTTTTTTACATTCTGGTGGGTTAGGTTTCACTCGATCTCTTTCCTGAGACAACATTTGCTGTTGCCATTGCCAAAGATAATTTGTAGAGATTCGCATCTGATTTAAATTCAACGTTGAGCCTATGTGCAATTACAGCCACATATTGGACGTAAAACAACCATAGAATGCTTAAATGGAGGTCCTTATTGATCAGTGCGCTTGAGGAACCGTGTGTGTTCCCTTTAATTTTTAATTACGATTCGTTACTTTTGTGCAATTTTAACATGATCATGTGATCTGGCTTTCTCTGTTGACCATTTCAGGATTTTAGCTGTTTCATGAAACTGGTTATTTTGTTAATTTGTATGCATTAAAAGACTAATGGAATGATAATAACCCCATATCCACTCATTTCGGAATGGCTTAGATGAATAGTTGATACGAATGTTTCGCGTTCTATAAGCCGAAATGCCAACCCAGAGAGGGGAAAAAATATAAGTTCTCGTTGTTGTTACTGAAAACGTATTATAGTTTGTTTCGAACCGTGTCCATTATATCGCATTTCATTGAACTACTATACGGACAAACGTCATTTTGGATAATAATGTAAAGAAAACATAAAATAAAATTTTAATTTAGTCAAAGGAAAAAGGTCTAATATTTTTTCATTTCGACAAAATTACATAATTAAGTATCACTCTTCAATCAGAGATGTTCTGAAGAGTTCTGTATAAAGGACGTCGTTTTAAGAGTTTATGAAAGTTTTTTAACACCGTATGTAGTACAATATTTGGGTTAAGGCAAAAAATAAAGCGGTGTCATCAAAATCTGTCGTTCTGATCACTTCAAGTAGATCGTTGGCGGTATCTTGCATTGATTTCTTACTGTTAAAATGTCGAAAAGAAATTCGTTCTTAAACTTAATTCTGCTCTAGCGCAATAAATTTTTTTATAAACGCATTTATCGAAAGTGATAAAATTTGATAGTGTTGCTTTTTTTGGTAGCCAATTCTTTGCTACCTATTTGCGATCCATTTTGTTAGGGTGGTATTATTGTTTCCATTCAATCTACATTTGCTCTTGCTTTGCGGTGTTAATTTCAGTTGCTTTTTTATCGCTCTATTGAACGAAATTGCCTTGGCTATGTATTGCAAATGAGACCATGCGTCGCGCAACTAACTGCCATCAGGCACAACGACGCTCGCTCGATCGATTTATGTTTTTCTCTTTCATCGCGGGTTGCGGGTTTGGCTAGGCGTATCTGTCTGCTTAGCTAGTAGCTCGCACCGCTCTTCTTGGGAACTGTGCATTTCAGCAATGGCGTTTATTTGCTCTCCCTACTGCCTCCACGAATGTGTTTCTCAACCCCGGAATCCTTTCATCTTCTTTGCTAACTCGGTACCCATTCACACATGCGCGCGGTGGGTATGACTCAGCTCCGTTGTTGTACTTTTATTTATCTCTGCTTTTTACTCGAAAGTTTTCTTTAGGGTGGGTATTCTAGGCCTTCTTAATGTCTTATGTTTAGCTACTTGTTTACCACTTTACTCAAGCCAGACCGCCTCACTTAACTATTACTTGATATAAGTTTCCTTCTCAGTAGCCGGAACATGCTCGGGTTCATCGTTATTCTCCCTTCATTAATATCTGGAAGTTCTTCCTTAATAGGTCTTTGTTCTTCATCTTGAACACCAGCGTCCTTGTGGTTGATTAATGGCTCTTTGTCCTCCGATACATTTCGGTCATTTTCAACAAATCTTTTGATTAAATCTAAAATATCGTCAACTATGTTGGTAGATTGAGAGAATGGCACTTCAGCAACTTCAGTCATTTGTTCTACAGCATTCGTTGTGGTTGTGAAAGTTTGTCCAAGACCAGAACTAATTGCTTCGGTTAATCCACCAACGACTAGTCCAGCTAAAGCGCCTCCAATCGAACCATATAAAGCTTTCTTTTGTGTATCTTCATCAATGAAAATGCTTTGTTCCTTCTTTACTTTCTTGATTTCCGGTTCCTCCTCTTGCGTAATTTCTTCCGACGGTTCCTGTTTAATTTCTTGTTCGAATTCCTTTGGTTCCCACTTATATCCAAATTGGATAGGCAGCTCAGTTTGAGCTGATGCTGTGGACTCTCCGGGCATTCGATTGTGCACTTGCACACTAATCTCCTTACACGGTGAAACCATGCCAATAAGATGGTCATTAACTGTGAGCATACCACGTTCATAGTGTATGCTTGCTATAGTATCTATAGGTATATCAACCTCTACAATACATCCGTCCTCAAGAACGACAATCATATTAATGAAAGCTTTTAATATAAGATTCAAGTTGTACGTCTAACACAGTTGGCCTTGATATAAGTTACTTTCTCAGTAGCCGGAACATGCTCGGGTAAGGAATGGAAGTTCACCTCTAGGTCTGTTTCTATCATGACGTTGCCATGAACAAATACCATTTCGATTGATTGATCCAAACAGTTTTGAAAAGACGTTTACAGTGCTATGATCTGACATCTATATTTCTGAATATGTCGAGCATAAGTTTTTTTAATATGTCAGTAGTGAATTACGATGAGGTGTCCGGTTATACCTCTGTTGTTTTTATTTAAAAATGAATTGAGGGATTTCAGTTCATGTGAAAGTACTTTTACGCAAGTAATGCAATAGTCTGATGGAACTGTTCAAATGGCTAGTGAAGTGTTGAATTAGGTTAAAAAGATAGTATCATGTGTCCGAAAACGTGTCAATGCTACCTTCTATCCTAGAAAAAGGAACTTTTTAATGAACCTAATTTCCATTCAAAATGACAAATATTATGTTATGGGGAATTCGTTCTTGTAGTCACATAATCTCCCTGATCGTTGATATTTCCTGCTTTTAGTTTCCGTGATTCGAATGCAATTTGGGCCTACTAAGACAAGTTGAATTAAATAATGATTGAATTTTTCTGTTTGCCTTATTTTCTCTGCAAAATAGCTTTGAATTAAGGGGTTTGGAATGACTATTTTCGTGGTCAAATAATTAGACAGCTCACAATAAAAGAGCCACGATCTCCCCCAGGTCATATCTTTCTATTGCCCCCTATTTGCTCTTACACTGAAATTTGGATTGCCTGGATTGAATTCCAGGCAATCTATTTAAGTCTGTTGTGCATTCGCCTTTATGCACCCAATCTCGAAACGCTTTTAACTGTCTGGACTCGATGGAAGGAGTGTTTCCCTCGAATTTTATGATGCCCTTTGTTATATTTTACAGCGTTCCTGATGCTGGTTGAGGATAGAATCTCATTATATATAACACAAGAACACACCAAGTCACTATTCGGGGAATTGGGTTACTTTATTGAATGTATGGACTTTAAGGTTTACCCACATGAATATGTTAATTACGATATCTGAATGTTCACGTTGAACGCGGTTATGTATATATAAATTCGAATGAGCGTCTTTATTGACGACGCATGTTGAATGATGGCATTGGACAATCAGAACATGGGCAATCGGGTTTTTCTCCTATGTGCATTCTCTATTTTCTCTCTTCGGAATTAGAAATCTATGCTATTATACTGTTTTTGAACAATTCGGTATTGCTATTGTCTTTTCTTTCAGAGATATAACACCTCCATGGAAGCCAGACGTTGACGGTGACATGGATACCAAGTATATTCCGGAGGAATTCCAGCGAGAAAAAGTGGCAGTGACACCACCGGAGAAAAATGTTTACTCCGATTACCTTGATCAGCCTTACTTCCAACGCTTTAGTTACCATGGCAGTCGACAGAGTCTTAGTCGACAAAGTGTTCTAAGTTTTGGCGACAATGGCTCCATCACTGAGAATTCTATGACAACAAATTGAGAAGTGAATTCGTCCCTGTGCTTATTCTCCCTCGCCTTGTCTACTATCCCACTCTGTCGTCTACTTAACTTCAACCTGTAAGTCGTCAAGCCTCTCACTTTTCACAATATCAGTAATAATTGCTCATTATTATTTACTACTGGTATGACATTCGAATGTAGAGTTATCTTTTGTATTTTGTTGGGAAGTAAAAGGTGTTGTCGATCGAACCACAAAATTCATCTCTATTTTAAAAACACTTTTGTTTTTAGTTACAGTAAATTAGTTGGTAGTTTGCTATTTTAGCTGTATGTATGCTACGGAATTTAAGCGTGCATATTTGCTTAATGGAGGCGTAGTGATCAAGGTGCATCTATAAAATTGAAGGTCATGGTTTCAATATTCGGTCGAATGCATGACACCAAGTCTATTAGTTAATAGTAGTCAGTGGAGGGGTGGCATGATATGAGTTTCTAGTCAAAGAGGAGGTCCCTGGATAGTACTCTTCTACCTGAGAGAACGCTTTCTTCTGAGTGACGTAGGACTTATAAGTTTAAGGTAAGAGTTTTTGTTCGTCACAGGAGTTGAGTAATTTAGGTCTGTATTCTGTTTTATTTGTCTACTATTATATGCCAGCTATAACTAAATTTGAAAATTGGCGGATGATTGTTGCAGTTTCGTCATCTATGCACTCATTCAGTTGAGCTCTAACTTTTCGTGAAAGTCTTCCATCTTTTTTCCTTATCATCACTTTCACTAGATTTTTAGTTTTTGTATTGTCAAGATAATCGCTCGATAACGCTTTTATTAGCGGAATTCGGAGTTATTATTATTAAGAAAGTTTACTAATTGGTTCTATAATCTTTCATATTTTGATTTGAACCTTACGGCAAATGTTTTCCGAATAAGCGATTATTTTGTTTCAAAAATAGTTTCATGGAGCGAAATTTCCGTTTAACAGCTCCGGATTGATTTCCAGAAAATCTCGGTAATTTAATTCAGTGAATTCCTGTACCTGAAAAGGGTAGAGCAAACTACTTGAAAGGTTTTTTTACGAGAGGGAGTGTTGATTGCTGTTTTCTATTTCCTCTCAACACCTAGCATGACCAAATGAGTTCCTCTGTGCCATGCTTGTCTTTCCACCTTATCTCCAATATCAGGTCAATGTTTTCATGTTCAAAATGAAGTCCTTAGTTCACTCTGATGAGAGGAGTTTGATTACGACTTGTAAAGTTTGCTGATTACTTCATTATCCAACTGAGAATATCTCTAGTTGTGAGTGGATAATGACATATTCTTAAACCTCGATAGAGATTTGAGAGAAGTGGGGAGTTGGTGAGCTGATTAGACTTATTTCAAGGTTATTAATCTGGTCTTCATAGTGTTTTAACTCCTATTTAACATTTTATAGGTTTCCTAATGGCATTTAATTTCATACGCAAGCTAGCTATTAGCCTTGAATTTGAATCGATTTTGTCGTGGTACCCCTCTTGCTGTGTGATGTTTTTTATGATTTTATGCTTGAGTAATGCGTTTAGGTTAAAAGTGCACACCTGTGCGCGTGAACACGTGCTGATATCTGCGTCATTGCGCCACCAGTGTGCCATATTTAGGACATGTTCATTCTCACCACTTAAATACGAAGCTCTCGGTTATTTTACATGGTACATTCGCTTCAAAAGAGCTCTCTTTTCCTCAAGAAATCAGGGTGGAGGTTCTGTGCCTTTTTAATTTGAACTTCTGAGGGCAATAGAGATTTCAGATTCTTACTTTAAATTAGGGTGTTCCTAGTGGAATTAGATAAGTGAATTGCTTAATATTCTTATTGAGATTGTACACCTGCGAAGTCTTGTCTTTGTAGAGGGGCGCCTACCAAACATTCTTTATCATAAAGAAACTATATGTGATGCTTTAGAGTTGGATCGTGCTACCAGTAGGTTTGAACCTAAATCTCCTGGGCCTTCGGTATTAGATTTTAAAACAAATTATTATTCATTAAGTTACTTTCATGGTGCATGTCAAATATCATAAACTGCCATGTCAGCTGATTGGTCTTTTTGTCTTCCTTTTATTGACACCTCCATTAGGCAATTTCTTACTGTCGACTTTAACGAAGATAATTTACCTAGAGGCTGAAAACTCGTATATAAAGGAATTCTCAAATCGCAACTTTTAAGGTCTCTCCCATATTTTCATTGTGCGTTCGAGAGAGATTATTCATTTAGTCGATTCGTTTGAATTATTTGAGCTATATGGTTATGTGTTTCCATGTATTGATTGAAAAATCATTGCATAGCCTCATTTAATTACTTTCTGATGAATCTTATTAATTAAATCCCCCTTAATATGTATATTGAGCTCAACTAACTGCTTTTATACCATTGCTCCTCTTGTTTATCTTGTTTACAGTCACCTCTGTTCAAAATTTTTAGGTAGCTTCGCTAAATTTCCTCGAACTATCAATATCAGGGACACACAAGCACATCAGGTAAGTTGTACAAACATTCACAATCACGTTCTATGACGATAAACGCGCATTGGATCTGGTACCTCTATCGGCATTTTGACTGTGTCCTTTATGGAACATAGTTCTTGTTATTAGAGTTTTACTGGATGTGCCACAACCAGTTTTCAATCTGAGAACCTAAATCAAATCGTTGGGTTTTAGATATCTCTTCTGTTGATTATCCAGAGTATTCAGGTAAGCGACTTTTACAATGCCTATTAAAATTTTATTCAAGTGTTGCCCTAATGACTCGGTTTGTTTTTCAGCTTCGATTGCGATGAGCTGCCGATCATTTCTTCACCCCTGATTGCCATTTGTATTACTATTCCCGATGACGGCCCTTGTTGTATGATCATGGTGAAGCGTTCTGCACATTTCGTTTTGGCATTTCTTTACTCCCCATCCCCGTTTTGTGCTCCTTGCTCTCTCTCCTCTTTTGCTCACCCATTTCTTTGAACTGGCTTGTACTAACTTTGTCTCGATAATCACTCAGTTCTAATCTCCCTCTTCTCCTCTTTTTTTCCCAACATCTCCCGATGATATTTACTGTAAGAGTTTTGAAGACTCCTCTACTCATATACACTCTAACTTGATAAAAAACTATTATCAATTGAAATGAACTATAAATATACATATTTGGCACAGCTGCATAAAACCTATATATGCCGGTCTCTTTTGTCTCATTTGCCGTGATTGTACGCCATCTATAGTTTCTATTTGCTTATGTTTGAGTGTTTGCGAGGGTTTGGTATGTACTCATCTCTTTCTGTTGTTTTTTTGTACACTTTACATCCACTATAGTTCCAAATCAATCAATTGGGAGCGACTATATTGGTAGTTTTCTTAAGTCCATTTATTTTAGTAGGATTTTGGTCATAAAAGAGGTTATCTGTTTCAAATTTGAAATTCTGATCCCATTTGTCAGAAATTCTTAGTAATAGGATATATATCTCGTTCTAGTCTTATATGAATTGAGTTTTTCCATTTATAAATTTAGCATTGGTACTTGTGTAGTAGAATTTAGTCCATTACTTCTAGGATAAATTGACCGACAATTTCTTTTACTTTTTAATTACCTAACTCCAATAAAGTCACATTGAAGTTTTAGAAAGTTCGATATGGCTTTATTTCATCTACCCTAATTTTAGTTTGGAAAGACGACGAATATACTCTAAGGTTTCTTTTATTTAGGTATCTGCCATATATGATAAACTGTCACCGCATGTCTATTTGAATTGCATTCCCAGCTTACGAGTCTATTGTATTGTACTACGTACCAACCCTACTTTGCGATAATCATGCAAAACAATGATTTTGCTAGGCCTAACTATCGAAGAGCACACATGCAGGATTGGTCTTATGGATAGTGAAATCTCGCGTTCACAGTGTTCGAGTCTGCTCCCTTGCCTATTCACATCTGGGTTGAGCTAGACTAACACTAAGGGACTGCTCTTCTACCAACATTCAGTAAATTATTTTTGTATTTGATTATTTGCTTTACGTGCTGCAGTTTGTGAAACTCTTTCTCTTTTGTACCTTTGTTATAGGTTCTCTTCACCGAGTTTTTGTGTGCATAGTAAAGTATGATCAAGGCTTTCTCTTGAACTTTAGATTCTCCTTTAAAATTCACTGTTTCGCTTCCCTTTAATGTGTCTATTGCTCTAATTAGTTTCCTATCTTGGGATCAAGACGACAGCTGTGCTCTGTTTACATTAGTTCTGCCACGCGAGCGATGTTGCTATCGATTTTTGGCCATCTGTTGTAAATTTAAGTGCACTCTATGCCCTGCCCCCTTCCTGACAATTTATTACTTAGCTTACTGGCTCGTGACGATTTCAAATAATTCTTAGAATTTATCATTTCACCTTTCTTTTCTCATGGTAGAATTTCTTGTTGTCATTGTGAAATAGGGGTTATTTTGTCATGACAACCCATATTATTATTAACAAGCTCTACGTTGTTGTATAGGTCAGTCACCTTTTGCAGTTGCTTGACCACGTGTACGAAAGTATAATTTTACTGTTTGAGCATCAAATTATTTTGCCTTGTGCGTAATTTACTTCGATCCACTTGGTATTAAGTTAGTAGGGATTATTTTAACACAGCATTTAATTTGTCCGTTATCCGATTTTCACTTGAACTATTCAGCTTTTCCAGGAGACGAAAATTGCTTCTCTGCAACCTGGCGCCTTTTTCTCCATTAGGCAAAATCCAAATGTCTCTCTTCGACTTGCGTGAATTTTTGTGATTTTACCTTGAGATTTAGCGTGCATCGTCAGCTGTGTTTACTTTATTTTTTGCCAACACAGTGTTTTTATGCCTATTTATTGGTCATGAGAGAAGTTACGTAAGGCCTCTTCGAATTTATAGGTCATTGATAATGGAGTAGCTACCAAGTTTACATTCAATCATTTATACATTCACCACTCTCAGTGCTGCATCGCTTCTTAATGGAAGTGGAATTACTTCTGATGTTATCATCTGGGGTGCGTATATTCCTCGGTTCGACTTTTTGCATTGGGCTTATTTTAGGAGATTCTTTTATTTATGCCTTTTTTCTGATCATAGAATAAGACTAGGGTAAAATTTTCCTGGCTTCGAGTTATCTTCCTTTGCAATTAAAACTTTCGGGACATGGTCTATTAGTAGCGCATTTTTAGTAGCTGTTTGATACTTTTGTTCAAAATACAAATTCAAATGTCATTTCAGCTGTCATAATTTGCCTAATAGCGAAAAAATCTTTCTTTCGGGTGGCAGTGTCAGATGTCGACTTAGCAGTTAGTTGATCTAGTGTTAGTAAGAAGAAAATTCGCTTCTACATTGCTGGGTCGACGTATAGCAAGATTCTTTTCCACTCCTACTGATGAAACATATACTTTATTTTTAATTTAATATTTAAATCGATGTTCATCGTTAAAGAGCTTGGAAACGGTTTAGAGGTCGATGTCCTATCATCGAAGTTATGTTAATCATTTGATTTGAATTTTCTCCTTGGATCTTCATGTTATGCCTTATAAAAAACTAAACCATCTTTTCATTTTTGGTCTATTTAACTTTGTCATGGGTGGCGTTTTTTATTACTCTTTCGCTACCACATTTATCTAATCATTTCTTTGTTATTGCGTGTAAGGTTGTCATTTCGCTAATAATCAAAGTAAGGTATCGCTTTGGAGTCAAAGACCATGCCATTTTATTTCTAAAATTTAAACCCATTATGGATAGTGTTAATGATATTTGACCTAAGTATTGGAGGGGTAATGTGCATCCGCCTTTATAAGATTCTTAACTTCTACCATCCACTTTGTTGATCATAATTTATCCATTCACTTTATCACAATCGTCACGGGTCATACTACTTAGTGAGCATTGATCTTATGAATCTGATTGGTCTCTAGCAACTTTGTTTCTTTATAGCAGTTAATCTTCTTATAGCAAAATTTAGGATTTTTGTGTTTGGTCCACTTCGAAATCCAAACTTTTATTAGCTTTCTCCCTTTTATCGTTTTTTTTAAATACGTTATTGAGTCTTGTTCATTCGAATAATTATCTCCCTTGTTTAAACTAAATAATACATTGAGTTAGACAATCTGAGAATTTGTTCCTAAGAGGAGTTATTTAAAAGATACTTCCCAAACTTGCTAAGGAACCTTTATCCAACAATGCAGATCGATTTGATTTTGTCAGAGTTATAATTTTTTATGAGTAGATACACATTTTAACTTAACTCTAATATACGCGTTTACTAATGTTCTAGTTTCCCCTCGTACTCCCTGTACAGCCTCCTGTTAACGATTTTTTAATTAATTTTGTTTAATTTATTATGTGCGATGAGTTTGTTTGTGTTCTTGTTTGGATATTGATACGCACAAAATTGCAAAATTTATCAATCTTCCCCCTCAGCCCTTCTTACACAGTTGTAGTTGGTATTTAGATGTCGAGGGTTGTTGTTCAAACAAATAAAAGGTATCTTTATAAAGCATCTTCTTCGTCTTTTGCAGATAAGCAGGATGATCCACATTAGAGTTCTTCCAAAACTACGTGCTCTCTCATTGGTTGGATCTATGCCAACTCAAAAATGTATCAATCTGGCAACTACTTCATCTCGACTTGTACAAGTCAATAAGGTAGGCAGCTAGTTCCTTTATGCACAGTATTGTATCAAAAATACCATTTGTGCAGCAAGGAGCACGTTTATTCAGTAAGCATATTATGGATAAAGTGTACACGTAGGGGGCTTAATCATGATCAGGATGGGGGATTAGGTTAAACAGAGGTTAATGATCGGTCGCTGTTTGTACTAGTGATTGGCCACTGTTTGTACGGTCGCTGCACACAGAGTTGTGGTCGCTGCACACAGAGTTGTACGGCCGCACCTCCCAATCGTACGGTCGCTGCACACAGAGTTGTACGGCCGCACCTCCCAATCCTGGCATGCAGGCTTTAATATTACCGTTCAGAACCCAGTTCATGTTCATCTGTTTGCCAAAGAAATCATAAGTCACAACGTCCACTTTTCAAAGGCTGCTATATGTGGCCATTGGTTATTAGAAGCTAATGTATTTCTCTGTTTTTCCCCGTATCATTTGTAAATCACTTTAGATGCGATTTCAAGGTACTCTGTCGAATTCGCAATTTTTGTGTAGTTATTCGTCGTCCAGATAGCGTGAAGCTCATTCATTAATAAGGATTTACTAAGCTATTGGTGTATAGTTGGCATTACTAAAAAAATATCTGGTTTTAACCACATCCTTATAATTTTATGAGCAGTTTAATTTCTTTCAATTCTTACTCAACTCAAATTTAGGTGCATTCAATCGTTCTTATTATTGCCCGATTCTTATTAAAGCTGAATTATTCTGTTAAATGGAGAGCGTTTACCTATAAATTAAATTTGTATGTATGAATCAATTGAAAAGTAAATTACCATGGAGATCTCCAAAATTTCAATTGTTCAGGAATGTGTGCTAGGTTAAGGACACTGCGAAGTTTGGGTACTACTCACCTGAAATCAAATGGAATAGAAAAAAACCCTAGGACCGAGCGATTTAGGAAAATACAAATGAACGTTTGCGCTCAAGGCCAATTTAAATATGAAACTCGGTTCTTAAATAGAAATCTTTTTTCAATTTTTCACTGCTATTACTGATATAGATAACAAAAGTGGATGTGTGACAATTACGTGGATGAATGTAATGTTTTGGAATTAATAAAGTAAGGAAAAGTACATATATACTGTGTTTGTCTTCACCTTTATTTTGGAATTCTTTACTGTTTTCCGCTCACTTGCTTGAAAATTTTGAATTTCGGCTCGGTTTAGCCATGGGTAACAGCAACGGTTTCTCCTAATATTATTTTATATTTCGTATGTGCGCCGGACATATGGCAGGTCTGGAATCGATGTTTGCGTACTTTCGCTTCGCGATGCCAAAATTAATTCCTCTAACTCATCCCTTTTTTGTGTCTAGTCTCTCTCTCTTCCTCTAGATCGTTAAATTATATTCCTAAACCTACCGATGTTTGGGAATGGGGGGGTGATTGTTATTTCATCATTCTAATTGTCTAATTCAGTCTGCTTTGAGTACTCGTTAGCTTAAGGCCTTGGGTCTTAAAAAGGGGGACTTCTAATGGCAGTGATGGAGCAGCTGCAATCTTCCCATGAATAGGTCTACCGTCCTTTTTCAATGAAGACATTTGCGCGTGACAGCAACTCGCTCCCTAAATCCTACGCTCGGGCAGTTCGCGTTTTATATCCCCTCAAAGCCATTTCTCCCATTTTTGTCCCTAGAGACATTTTTTGATGTTTTAAATCCGCTGTTGTAGTCGGAACGGCTGTTATGAAATACTTTTACATGAGGCTAACTGTAGAGTTGAAATGGTTTTTGCATTCTCGCAGGGGTATTTATTGCGAAAAAATGTTGGCTGTAGAATACTGAATTCAAAACTCTAACCTTCTGGTTATGAATTTTCGCGATCGTGTCACTCCTCCTAGTCTTATTTTTTTCCTGATTTCCTCCTATTTCGAACTTCCGTTTTGAGAGTTAAATTTGATCCATTGACATTTTAATGGCCATACAGGTGTCTAGTTTCCAATACCGACTTTCTAATTTGATAATCAGTTCGATCAGTGCGCGGATATGAGTTCTCACATGGATCTAATAGCAATACGTTGAAATTTATATTTGAAACAGAAGTAGGAAAATAATGTTGAATAAATAAAAAGTGAATAGTTAGATTCTGGCCTTTTTTGCGCTTTAATCTTTTCTTTGCTGAATTCAACTTCTCCAATTGTAGAAATATTCCAGTCTTTCTCTTCATCTACCTTTTCAAGGTTAAATTTGTATAATTTCTCCCTAAAATAAGGACAAAATATGTCAACATTATTAATTTTACTTCTCTGTTGCCAAATAAAACTAATATTATACTTCCTCATTCTCGATTGATTGGGATATTTCGGTGCGTTTTACGAATAGAACTTTTAAGTTTTCTCATTTTGGTTTAATTTTAGTGGAAGGCTATGTTTTTTGTCGAATTTTGGTGGGCTTTCCAATTATCTTCGAAAGCGATATAACTTTAAATGTGGTTTTCAAAAGTAGTCGCTACTAATTGATTGGATAGTAGGTTTAATCTTATGAAATTTTAGATTACATTGTCCTTTAATTTTGCTTTCGTTGTTGTCTAGTCTATTTTCTTAATATCATGGAAGTCGTATCTAAGTCGGAATATTTCTATTGGATTTATGGGATGGTAACGAAGAGCGCAAACGTTATCATTTATACCTATGACTTTTGTCATATGACTTTTATGACTTTATTTTTCCCTTTTAGACCCACCTGGTATCACCGGCAAGTCTCTACCCGCGTTACTTCTCTGATGCCCCCAAGCTTGACAAAGCACTTCATGATCGTCTCACAAAACTCACCACACAATCTCGCGTTGTAATCCTCATGAAGGGTAATCCCCAGGAACCCCAGTGCGGTTTTTCTAACGCCGTGTGTAGAATTCTCGAAGCACATGGTGTACTGGACAAGAAGGATCCTAAAACGGGCTCTCCAATTGCCTCTTCATTTAATATCCTATCTGACGACAGCATTCGCAATGGTGCTAAGATATTCTCAGACTGGCCTACATTTCCACAAGTCTATATAGACGGGGAATTTATAGGCGGCTGTGATATTCTCCTGGATATGCACCGCTCCGGGAAACTGGCGGAAGAGCTGGAAAAGTGGGGAATCGGGTCTACGTTGAAAGGGGAGGATACAATGAAGTAACTGGTTCTCTGTAGATTATGTACTTACTAGTGTAGCGCCTTTTTCAAATAAACAACTTTTCATTGACGCTCTATCTTGTTTGATGACATTTAGTCGTTAAGACCACGCATTATAATATCAAACTATTATCAGTTGAAAATTGATCAAGTTGAGGGTATTCATGTTAAGGCAGGTTAATATTTAGTTCTACATACTTTGATTCCGATGATGGGAGGTTGTGTCTATATCAGGAAACTTCTACTTACGCCTTTATCCATTTTATGGCATTATGAAGAATACCAGTACCTTTCTAATAACAGAATGAAGTGTGTGAGCAAAGAATGATTTTATTGTCAGTGGCAAATAGAAATTAAATGACTAAAGGACAACGTAGAGCGCACATAGTTAATGATGCACTTGGAAGGATTTTAATAGTAAATTTAGGAAATACCAAGTGAGTTGCAGCAATTGACTATTAGGACCATATGATGGATCAGGACTAATTCTTGGCTCTCGTTCGGACGTGGACTTTTGTTCGCCGGGGGAGGATGGCCGCTTCCCCCCCCACCCCCACCCCCAACCATTGCAAGCTATACCTAACAGCCCTTACTTCCTTTATTCATATGACTTTATTAACTTTACTCCCTTTCATATCAACTTTCCCTCCCTATACTGCATACCTTAATTTTAAAAAAAAAACTTATTTAGACAACTCTTCCTACATTTCACTTCAATGTAGTGAGGTTTCCAGCTGTGAGGACAAGTTGACCCGGTTCCTCTGACGTATGCCTCCATCCTCATTATCCTTGTCAAGCTCCGTATTCATTTTCGTAACCCCTCGTCTAAACGACCTGTAGAACTGAGGTGACTCTGATTTCGTAGATAATGCGAAATCACTGCCAATAGCAATTGAGCACAATAGCCATGAATTTGGAATTTTCGTACATGATTTATCCATGTGGCAATTATTGAATATCTTGAAACTAAAAGCCCTGCAGTGCTTTGACGGTACCCTCTCCTGGCATCTTTCCGATCCCTTATCTTTAACCAAGCTGGGGTGTGCGATAGACTTACCTCCACGTGGAGCACCCTGAGCAACGTATACTCATACGGCAAACAAGTCTATTAACCAGCAGTTGATTTCTCACTTCAAATTACTATGACCCCACTTTAAGTCATATTTGACTTCTTTCACAGCACTCACCTTACCTTTTCTCTGCCTTCGTGTCTGTGTCTTATAACTGTCTTTGATGTTCCTCCCCTCTGTGAAGCTCGAAGTCAGCTAAATTGCTAATTATAACCATCAAAACGCCTGCCATTTGAAATCAATAAATCTTTAACCAATTTTCCTGCTAATTAAGGATGTTAATATAGTTGATTAGTTCACATAAATGTATTTGGTGGTTGAATTTACACTTCCAGAGGCAAAGATCAACATATTGATAGTTTCAACTTTGACAATCTTGTCATATCCAAAACATTCCATACGACATGGTCGATCGGTTTCGGGCACAACTTTAAATGCTTTTCACTTTCTAATAGTTCTCCAAATTCGAGATTGAGTATGATAGAAATGTAATTTATATATACTACTTACTTATCAGTAGTATGAAAAATGGAAATTTTGAATCTGATCAATTTGTCAGCGCTAAAAGTCAGGGCACAAATGAGGGGAACTTTATTGAGAAATGACTCTTAACAGGAGGACATAGCGAAATGAAGTGTGTGTGCATGTCTTGATGAAATAGTTCATGTTGATAAAGTTTATATTTACAAACTTTTTTAAGGAAATTGTTTCCAAACGCTCAACTTGGCCTAGTGGTTGACAATCATGTAATGAACGCCAATTCTGTCAGATTTTTTTCATTATCCAGAGAGATTTAATTCTGAAAGAAACAGGGGGGCGTTATCATTTAAAGAAATAGCAAGAAAATCTAATTTTATTTCTCGGTATGATATACTTATTATTCTATAATGACGATCATATATGCAGGCTTTCTTTACTGTTCACTTTTGATCTAGAGCCCAATTGTCTTATCAGGTGAGCATGTTGCTCATCCTTATTCAACTCTGCTTAGAGTATGTAAGCCCTGCCTACCTACCTCTCATTTGATTGGCTATCAGTCTCACCGCGTCTGGAGTGTCATTGACGCATCATTGAGCTTTATACCCGACTATATTCATTCCACTGTCAATGCCATTGTTGCTCTATTCTAATAGCCACTACATTTCTACTGTTATTCGTTATTTTGAATTGGTTACAAGATAACCCTGAATGATATCAATTGATATTTTTAAGGTGGCTCGGTGTATTAAGGAGTTTCTGTTTGTTTCCATAGATGCTGCGGATTACAGAATAAGCCGTCCCATCTACATTGGTTCACAAGTAAGTGAAGGAGTTTCCTTTTTGAATATATATATATATATATATACATATGTGGTTCTCTCCCGACATGCCTACGAAGTGTTTCATTAATAGACATTATCAATTTTTGACTTCAGCTTCGAATGCACTGTAAATGCCAAATAGCATTCATTATGAAGTGCTCAAAACTAATGCATTCAAATAATTAGCTCATGGTCATGAATATTGGAGGGACTTGAAGTAAGTCAATCAGTAAATGAAGTAAAATCTTTCCAATTTCTATTATAGAGATCCAAACCGACCTCAGCGCATATAACCCGTACACCCTACTGTTTTTTATATCGAATATAACAACAAGAAAATTTCATGAATCATTAATCAATTCCCAAGGTAGTACTCAAAATGCCAAGAAGCACTCACCAGAGTGAAAAAATGAGCATTCATTGAGAAAAGCAATAATGAACATTTTTCAATGAATGTCAAGTGATTCGTAGACTTACAGATAAGCAAATAGACTATTTACACAATGTTCACTCATAGTAATGGGGCTAAGTTTCAATTGGAAGAACCGTACGCACCCACTTATGTCTCCCAGGCAGGCAGCTTATCTTCTTTCATTAGGCGTATAACCCACCTAACCTTCCAATATGTTCGAAAATAACCCATTATTAAGAATAATACACGACCATGGAGCGAACTACACTGCCTCCTTCACCATAGAACAATCTGGAAGGCGCAGTCGTGAATGCAGGATCTTCTAAGCAGATTGTGTTAATGAAACGTCGAGTAATGGTGATTGCTTTTATGGGTTAACCATTTGATTAGTTTATCAACATACGCATTAACCGCATCCCACACTCTCCGTTCGCTGCCAATTTTGGCAGCAATCTTATGCAAGGCGATTTTGCCAAAGCTTAGTCCAGGCCTTTGGCGTACTATTCGCACAAGACTATGCGAACTTTGGGGATTTATGCAAAATTGATCAAGATAATGGCCATGTAACTAAATAAGTTTTTTAATGGACAAAAGTAAGAAAATTTTGTTTTTCATTGCACCTAGATCAATGACCTAACAGTAAGGTTTGGCTGTTCTATGGTCATTCTAAATAACAAAATCATCTGCTTTCTGTCGGTCATTCACTTACACTTAGATTAAGCCTCTCACACACCATCGACGCAAAGTATTTCCAATCATGCCAAGAAGGAAAATAGTTCTGTTGTTAGAAAGGGCAACTTCTACCCCCTCCACTTAGTAAATGTTGATTACTTCTGTTTGCATCCAAAATCGGAGTGTGGGGATTCTGCCATGCCAACAATCAATATAGACTTTCAATAAATAGGGGTTTGATTGATGGTTAACTTCTCTTAGCCAATTCAAAGTTTGTATATCGAGAAATGTATCCCTACTTCTCCACGAAGTCTGGTACCACGTACGTCGCCTTTTATAAGCCTTTCTGAGGGAAGCTTTTGAGAATAATTAAACTGGCGTAGCTTCCACCGCACCTGTATTGTTTCTACATGAACAAATCATTTTCTAATTTCAATGCATGTGGTTGTTTTCATGGGCATTTGATTAGTGATTTGGTGGTTATTCTGAAAATAAATCTCAATACCAGTAGTCGTATTTAACCTGAGCTTAGGTAATGTTATGTAGGCTCCTTAAATTACAAACTCAAAATGAAATGAAATCTACACGCGGTTCGATCATTATGAAGTTAAACTAATATTGCATACAAAAGGCAACCACGAAATAATGTAGGCTTTATCAAACACGCATATTTCATTAATTACGAATAGCTGTTCAATAATTACATTACAACCGTTTCTAATCCCATAGGGTGTTAATGCGAAACGCAGGATATCCGCTTTGTTAAGGATTTACTGTGTTTTTACTAAAATTATTTGCATATGTAATTCTCTGTGTTAAGTAACAACGCCTTTACATATTAATAGTTTGCTATTTAATTTTACTTAAAATAGAAGATTATATTTCAAAAAGCTATGGGGCGTACAAGATTTGTTAAATAAGTGAAACAAATGTGAAAAGTATCTAATTCAAATATTGAAAACGTATTTTTACTTTTTGACCTTTTCATTTTGAGATTTTTGAGCACACATTCTTAGCACGGTTAACCGCATGTGCGATCGAACAGCCGTAGTCATCACATGCGAATGTGGTGCTGATCGCGTTGGGAAGAAAATGAGGTCACCAGTAAAGAGACTTCTCTACCAATCAACAATCAATAGACATGCATTGTCAACGTTTCCAAAGTTGCATTTAATGACTAGGCTTTGTGTCATTGGCATCACACAGCCTCAATAAGAAAATTTCATGTCATGCATTTTTGTGGCTTGGACATCTTCGGGAACCACTTCATACTAAGGCATATTGCCATGGAGTTTGCCAGAAGGTTTGTATAAACAATGCTTAGAGAAATCAAGGAGAGGTAGAGGATAAAACGCACAAATAAGACTCGGCCTAACCTCAGCAATCTTCGTGGCAAATTCTCCTTGCAGGACATTACTTCCAAAATCAGCTAGGCCGACTAAACAATAGGGTGGAGTGGAATAAATGAAGTGAATTGCGATTATTTGGACTTAGGACACAACCCCAGAGTTTGGACAGAGTTTAGAGTTAAGGACAATTTTATGGCATG